TGAAATGTATTCCCTGGTTATATGATATATAATGACCAAATTGTTTACTTTTAATATTGATAGACCAACTAAGAATTATTTAATGTCTCCAAACGTAGATGTGATATCTATTACCAGACATTCTTCAAATATCCAAATGCAGAATTATCACAAGATATCTATTTTTCTCATCTTACTGTCACCATTAGCTCGCTGTTGATGCCAGTGTTTACTCATCTTTCACTCAAGAAACCTTACTGCAGGATAAAATTGTCAAGTAAAGAAGTTGATAATGAAATTAGTTTGTATGTGAAATAGCAATTTGCTTTCAGGAATTATTATTCAGTAATGATTTTCTATACAAAAGTAAACTTCCAGTTGGAAACTAAAAGCATTTTTTAACATATTAGTAAATCCTGCCAGCTATCAGTATAAGTGATTCATATCTGATTTATATGTTGCTGCTATTCTCCATTTATTTTAGGTGTGGAAATTGAAACGACACAAATATTTTGACTGAGGCTTTGATCAAGCAAATGCTAAAAAGGTATTTATAATATTTATAAATTATTTAAACATAGTTATTTGAGAATTTAAACCATTTTACTTTCTTGAACCAAGGGTCACTAAGGTCATAAGAAAAACAAGGAATAGTTCTGTCCTAAAGATGATAAAGGAAGGCAATCTCACAGTCGTTTCCAATACTAAATATTTACCCAGTCCTTTCCACCCTGTCCTGATACTCTCAGTCCCCCTTCAGCATTTTTCTTCATTCTTAGAGACAGTAAAATAAGTTATCTCCACTCATTTTTCTGGAACATAAATCAAATACATCTAATTTTAAATTTACTTAACAATCAGAAACTAGGTCTATAACATGTATGAGTTCTATAGCTGGAAATAAACCCTACAATATCCTTAACAAGAAGAATCTTCTGGCCCTGACCAGTGTGGCTCAATTGGTTGGTCGACATCCATTGCACTGAAAGGTTGCCAGTTGGATTCTCATTCAGGGCACATGACTGAATTGCAGGCTGAATTGCATGCAGGAGGCAGCCAATCAATGTTCCACTCTCATGTCAATGTTTCTCTCTTGCCTCTCCCTTCCTCTCTCTCTAAAAATCAATTCAATTAAAAAATATTCTATTAAGAAAAGTCTTCTTTTTAAGTGATAATGTAGCTCCAGAAATGAAACCCCTGAAGAAATGAGAGGAGGAAAAGTTAGTAGCTTTACTAGACAAATCATGTGATATGGGCAGGCAGTCATTGACACGACAGCCTGATCACCCTTGCATCCACTAATTTACCTCAATATATTATACACTGAGTGGGCAGATTACTATGATCTCTGAATGCATAATAATCTGGCCACTCAGTGTATATCCTATATAATAAAAGGCTAATATGCAAATTGTCCCCTTGACCAGGAATTCGACCAGCAGGCAGGTTGGGCAACTGCCCATGTCCCCTCCCCTGACCGAAGTCATTACACTGCGCCTTTAATACCCACACACACACACACACACACACACAGAGTGGCCATATTATTATGCGTTCGGAGATCAAAATAGTCTGGCCACTCAGTGTAATTTTCTAATTAAATTTTCTTGGAACAAACATTTTCCTCTTGTTTTGTCCAGAGATACCAAATTGATTTCTTGCTTTTTCCATTACTAGTTAAAATAAAATACTTGATTTGTGTAAAATGGGGAAACAAAGGCTAATAAACATATAGAAGCCCAAAAGATAAACTTTGAAATGCATCTCTTATTTCTAAGATCCTTCTGTGCAAATCATTTACCCATCCTGTCATCTAGGAAGAGTTTATGTTTTATGCTTTGTGGAGACTGATTAATGGGAGAGTTCCCAGAAAGTCCAGAGAAGTCAGGATGTCCAAAAGCCAAGCCAAAGCTGCTCAGAAGGAAACAGCCCAGCTCTAAGAGACAGCCACTTACAAGCAGAGCAGTAGACAAGTATCTTGTTGCTGTTGAGTACTTTATAATAGCAGGTGGTTTTTATCGTTGTTCCGATCCAGGATTCTCAGTTTTACATTGGGTAAAAACCATGAAAGAGCTCTTGTCAGTCAGTTATTAAAAAACCAGCTATGAGCCGAAACAGGTTTGGCTCAGTGGATAGAGTGTCGGTCTGCAGACTGAAAGGTCCCAGGTTTGATTCTGGTCAATGGCATGTACCTTGGTTGCGGGCACATCCCAGGCAGGGAGTGTGCAGGAGGCAGCTGGTTGATGTTTCTCTCTCATCGATGCTTCTTGCTCTCTATCACTCTCCCTTCCTCTCTGTAAAAAATCAATAAAATATATTTTCAAAAAACCAGCTATGAGAATAAGGGGCAGAAAATATCATAAAAAGACAGATCCTTAACTCCTAGAAAGTTTTTGGGGTTTTGTGTGTGTTTTTAAATTTTTGAAAGCAGTTTATTAAAACTGAGGACATTGAAACAAGGAAGAGCTTGGGACAGAAGCAGCAACAGGAGAGCCTAGGCAGAGTCACTTAGTAATGCTATAGGAAAGGAATGAGCCTAGGTGGGGGGTTGCTTTGGCTCACTGAGAAGTAAAAGCCACAGTGAACGAAGTGAGCCAAGGCTGGCTGTTGTCAGCTCACTGCGAGGTCAAAAAAAGGGGGCCTTGGAGACAGGTTCAGGGGGTTAACCCAGGACAAGCTGTCCGCTGCTTCATGGTTCCCTGGTTGCAAGTCTCAGTGGGATCCCTTAGAGTTTAGGGGATGCATGCCTGTGAGAGAGGAAGGGCAGGGAAAGGCCCAAGTATGTGCTCCCAGGAGGGAGAGCACACAAGTTTTGTTTGTTTAATATATTTTATTGATTTTTTTACAGAGAGGAAGAGAGAAGGAGAGAGAGTTAGACACATCGATGAGAGAGAAACATCAATGAGCTGCCCCCTGCACACCCCCTACTGGGAATGTGCCCACAATCAAGGTACATGCTCTTGACCGGAATCGAACCTGGGACCCTTCATTCTGCAGGCCGATGCTCTATCCACTGAGCCAAACCGGTTAGGGCAAAGAGCACATAAGTTTTAATCAGCTTTTTATTAATACTTAACTCACTCAATATGCTACCCCAAAGTTAATACAGTAAGATACTAGAAAACAAACATAGTAAGATTTTTTTTTATTATTATTGATTATGGTATCACATAATTGTCCTCATCCCCCCATTCCCATCCCAAACCCCTCCCTACATATGCCCTCACCCCACTGTTGTCCGTGACCACTGGTTAGGCTTATATGCATGCACACGAGTCCTTTGGTTGATCTCTCCCCCATTCCCACAGCCTCCCCTATCTTCCCTCTTAGGTTTGACAGTCTTGATCGCTGCTTCTCTATCTCTGGGTCTGTTTTTGTTCATCAGTTTATGTTGTTCATTATTTCCCCTAGATGTGTAGATTATTGAATAAGAACACAGCATATCTTTTCATTTATGTAAGAAAATCTTGTCCCTTTTACCCAAAAGGGAGATTCTATAATGCTGCAGTGATCAAAGGGGTGCATATATCTTTTCAAATTAGTATTTTGGATTTCTTCAGAAAAATACCCAGAAGTGGAATTGCTGGATCATGCGATAGTTCTATATTTAATTTTTTTGGAACTTCCATACTGTTTTCCATAATGTTAAGCATTCTTCATGCTACCATCATTTGGCCTGGATATCTGACTGTTGAAATATTTCAGGAAAAAGCTGGGACCTTTATAAGTGATTGTGTATGAAATTCTGAAGGCAAGGGCATAGATGAGAGCTACCCCAAGTGCTCTTAAGCCAATGGATAAATGCATTTTGAGTCATATATCAACTTAAAATGTGAAAAGCGAGTAGGAGAAGAACCAACTTAAAAATTAAAATTTAAGACAATTGATAGCTATAGCCCAGTGCCTCAATTCATTAGCTACCTATCCATAGTCACTTCTGAACGAGGTTTACAGACAAATTATTTCCTATGTATAGTGGACATTTAGAGGGAAATAGAGAAAAACAAAACATATCACTTCAGATTTTGGCATATGTGCCTCCTTTTTTCTATCTCTAGATGCATTGATTCATAAAATTTTCTATTTCTTTAGCATATGTTTTATGATTTGCTTTTCACTTACTATCTAGTTAATTCTTCCCCATGTCATTAAATAGTCTACATAATTTTTTTAAAATAACTTTTTATTGATTTCAGAGGGGGGGAAAAAAGAGGAAATAAGAGAGAGAAATTTCAATGATCAAAATAATTGATTATCTGCCTCCTGCATGACTCCTACTAGGGATTGAGCCCAAAACCCAGCATGTGCCCTGCCCTGAAATTGAATTGTGACCACCTGGTTCATAGGTTGATGCCCAACCACTGAGCCTCACTGGCCGGGCTGGTCTACTTAATTTTTTAAAGGCTGCATAGACTGTGTTCCATCCTTGAGATGTACTTTGGTTTAACTAATTCCCTATTTAGGTCATTTAAGTTGTTTTAAGTTATTAAAACAGCATTGGGGTCCTAACTGGTTTGGCTCACTGGTTAGAGCGTCAGCCTCGGGACTGACAGGTCCTGGGTTTGATTCCAGTCAAGGGCACATGCCTGGTTTGAGGGCTCAGTTCCCAGTGGGGGAGTGTAGGAGTCAGCCAATCAATGATTCTGAATATAGTCAAGTTCTGTGTCTTACAGTATTCTGACCTACCTTTATAGTCAGTGGATAAAACCCAGTGTGTAAAAGGGAAGACAGAAGGTTATTAGTAATTCACAAAGTACATGGTATCCTTTCTCCTGGGGGTCTAATTGTGCAAATGCAATTTTTACTTATCAATGTTTATTAAAACGAATTCTATATCCTACATGAAATATATTACACGATTCTGTTGCAGAGTTACATCAAAATGAAGTTATATAATTAGAATACTGAATGTTTTACTTATTAAAATGTTTTCACTGTTTGTTTGTTTTTTCACTTTTAGCCACGTAAAGAAGATCCCTAACAGTCATTTCTCAACAGTTATATAGTCAACTGATGTAACGATGGTCCTAATATTAGGACGAAGACTAAACAGAGAGGATCTCGGGGTGCGTGATTCCCCAGCAACGAAGCGTAAAGTTTTTGAGATGGACCCTAAATCTCTGACAGGCCATGAATTTTTCGACTTCTCTTCAGGATCATCCCACGCTGAAAACATACTCCAGATATTTAATGAATTCCGAGATAACCGATTATTCACAGATGTCATCATTTGTGTGGAAGGGAAAGAATTTCCTTGCCACAGAGCTGTTCTGTCAGCCTGTAGTAGCTACTTCAGAGCTATGTTTTGTAATGACCACAGGGAAAGCCGAGAAATGTTGGTTGAAATCAATGGCATTTTAGCCGAAGCTATGGAATGTTTTTTGCAGTATGTGTATACTGGGAAGGTGAAGATCACTACAGAGAACGTACAGTACATCTTTGAAACATCAAGCCTCTTTCAGATCAGCGTTCTCCGAGATGCGTGCGCCAAGTTCTTGGAGGAGCAACTTGATCCTTGTAATTGCTTAGGAATTCAGCGCTTTGCCGATACCCATTCGCTCAAGACACTCTTCACAAAATGCAAGACTTTCGCGTTACAGACTTTTGAGGATGTGTCCCAGCACGAAGAATTTCTTGAGCTTGACAAAGATGAACTTATTGATTATATTTGTAGTGATGAACTTGTTATTAGTAAAGAGGAGATGGTTTTTGAAGCTGTCATGCGTTGGGTCTATCGTGCTGTCGATCTGAGAAGACCACTATTACATGAGCTCCTGACACATGTGAGACTCCCTCTGTTGCATCCCAACTACTTTGTTCAGACAGTTGAGGTGGACCAATTGATCCAGAATTCTCCTGAGTGTTACCAGTTGTTGCACGAAGCAAGGCGGTACCACATTCTTGGGAATGAAATGATGTCTCCAAGGACTAGGCCACGAAGGTAAGAAAACTGTTTACAAATTAACTACAATATAATTAACGAAAGTTTTTGTTTTTAACGTATTTTAAACTTCTTGAAGGTAATTTCAGTGTAGTCATGTATACGTATTGTTGCATGTAGATGTATATAATTTAAGATTTGTTTTAAATGTCTCTCCCAGTGACGACTAGATTCATTCTTTGTTATTGTTCTGAACTGTCAGGGAGTGTTGCAAAGGGTCTTTGTAGCTGTGCATGTCTCAACATATTTCTACTAATTTCTTGTAGCCTTTGTAGGGTCCCAAAGCATTCCACTTTTCTTTCCAGAGAGTCTTTGGATAGAAAGGAGCTAAAGACTTTGGCAGACTAACAGACAACATGAAATATAGAGGTGGAGTAAGTAAGCTCATGTACATTGAGTGGATTCTCAGATATAAAACCCAACCTTCAGATCTTTTCTCATTGCCATAGTTACTATATTTAATGTTAATCTCAATTTTTAAATTTTTTTCTGATTATAAAATTTATATCATCATTATACAGAATTTGGAAAATGTATGTTATGTTTAATGCTATTAAATATTGTACAATTATATCTCAATAAAACAAAAACACTGACTCTAGTTTTTAAAAAATTGTTAATTGTTTAACAAAGGACAAAAAAAATACAATTTTATAAGTGTGCTGATTTTTTTCTAAGTTTCTGTTTTGTTTTGTTTTTAAAGACTGTTCAGAGATTTGGGCTGAGTTTAAAAATGTGGAGAGGCCAAGGTTTTTAAATGTATTAAGAAAACTAAACAGCTTCAGGGGTAGTCCACAACTTTTCTGGATGCACAGTATCCCTCCACGGAAATCACTCCCTCCAAACAGAGTTCCTTGTACAGAAGAGTGTTTTGGGATCAAATAGGGCTCATACCTATTCTGCATAGTTCATAAAATTAAAATAGGGACCAAGGGATATATGTTGTAAAATCAAAATAAATCATTTATTATTAACTAGAGGCCCGTTGCATGAAGATTTGTGCAACAGATTTGTCTTCCCCTGGCTGCTGGCACTGGTTTTCCTCAGTACCTGGGACCCAGGCCTGGGCTCTGGCTGCTGCCTTCCATCTTCACTCCGGCCAGAGCCTTCAGTCTTCGCTTCAGCTAGAGTGTTGCTCCTATAGCTCCCTCCGTCCCTCTTTCCCCCTCCCACCCCCTGCCCTCCTCCTCATAGCAGGCATCCCAGCCCAGCCCAGCCCAGCCCAGCCACTCTGTGCCTGTATGTGTGCTGCCCAGAGGCCCAGAGCAGCTGGGGGGGTGAGGCTGCCATCTTTGTCAGGTTATTTTGCATACTCACTCCTGATTGGCTGGTGGGCATTGTGAAGTGATGGTCAATTTGGATGTTTCTCTTTTATTAATGTAGATGTTATTTACAAAGAAATGACCTAAATGAACATTTGGAGCCTCAAGCTAATTAGGTTAGATGAAGATAATAAATACTTTTCCTGCCGGGTCCGGTTTGGCTCAATGGATAGAGCGTCGGCTTGGGGACCGAAAGGTCCCGGGTTCGATTCCGGTCAAGGGCATGTACCCTGGTTGCGGGCATATCCCCAGTAGGGGGTGTGCAAGAGGCAGCTGATCGATGACTCTCTTTCATTGATGTTTCTGACTCTCTATCTCTCTCCCTTCCTCTCTGTACAAAATCAATAAAAATATATTTAAAAAAAATAAATAAATAAATAAATAAATACTTTTCCTGATTCACTTAATTATTTGATTTATAAAAAGTTATTTGCAATTTTGAAGGGGACCAATCCATTTTATACAGTGGATCACATCTATATAAAAGTTTGCTATATCACCTTTCTTTAGAAGGCAAATAGAAAAAAAAAACCAGCTATAGTTATATTGAGTTTACAGACTATTATGAATATAATAGCAGATATTTATTTTGCGATGAATCCTTTATTTTACAACTCTGCAATTAGCTTCTGTCCCTCATATTGTCTTTCACTTACTTGTTACTGCATTTAGTACCCAGCACTAGGAATTTCATTATCTGAACAATATGTATTATTTGTACAGGTTATCATCTTTCTGAGAAACTCCAAACTTCTTTGAAAAAGGGGTGATGTCTCCACTTCTTCAACTGCAGTTCCTTCCTCTGACTTCTGCTCCAGTCACTCTCCTGAAACTCCTCTCAATCAAATCATCACTGACCTTCTGTTTGCTATTTGTTAGATACCTCTTTTCAGTCTTTATCCAGCTTCATCTCTCTTTAGAATTTGACATTATAAATTGCTTTAATCCCTCTTGAAACTCCGTTAGCTTGTGGAGTACCGTTTTCTTCATGGTCCTCTTACTTATCCAGCTGCTCTTTTATATCTAGCCTTGGGAATGTTGATAGTCCCTTTGGTTCACATCTCTTTGTCTTGCCTTACACACTTTCCTAAGTGATCACATCTACTCTCATGGTTTTAATTACCATGCATGCTATTAACTATCAAACCTATATCTCAGTCCAGATTTTTTCTTTCTTTCATTCATTCATTCATTCATTCAGCCAATGTTACTTTTTTTTTTTTTTTTTTGCTTGAGGATGCATCTTTTAAAAAAGATAACAGGCAAAATAATACTATACTTAAAGTTAATAGTTATTTAATATTATCTAATACCCAATTCATATACATACTTCCTCCAGACTGTTCTTTAATGAATCTGGATCTAATCCAGGATCACTTATTGTATCTGGTTATTTCCATGAAGTCTCTCTTATTTCAGAACAATTTCTTTTTTGTGATTCCGACTTGTTGATGGGTAAGTTGTCCAAAAAAGTATTCCGCTTTCTGTATCAGTCTGGTTGCATCCTTAGAGTATCACTTGCCTGCATTTAGTTATGTTTCTGGAAACAAAGTTCACTTTGCATGCCTCAGCTAAATTGAGACCAGTAAAGTATTTCTGGCAATGCGACACATTAGGAGACCCAGACTATCTAGTTGTCTTCACATTAGCAATGCAAAGATTAACTCCAGATTAATCTTAATTAACTCCACCAATGAACAGTTAGGTTATACTCCACATCAGTCAGTATTTCTTTAGTGTTTATCCTGTGCCAAGTGGTCAATCCACGTGTCTCTTAAATAACAGAAAACCCAAAAATGCACCCAAACATGAAAGTTTGATAATCTTCACTGCCAGTTGTAAACCTTTGAGTGCATGAAGACAAAACAGTGGAGACCAGTCACAGAAGGAGCAAAGGTTAGGAAGAGCAGTTGTCTTTTTAATAATATATATTATGCAACCTTAAATATCTGTGCTAATACATAATATTAATAATATTTTTTATTGATTTCAGAGAGGAAGGGAGAGGGAGAGAGCTATAGAAACATCAATGATGAGATAGAATCATTGATTGGCTGCCTCCTGCATGCCCCCTACTGGGATTGAGCCTGCAACCCGGGCATGTGCCCTTGACTGGAATCGAATCCAGGACCCTTCAGTCCATAGGCTGATGCTCTATCCACAGAGCCAAACCAGCTAGAGCCATATTATTATTTTTTAATAAACACCAAGTGCAAGCATCAAGATGTGTTTAAAGTACTGACTTCAGCCGGGACCAGTTTGGCTCAGTGGATAGAGAGTCAGCCTGCGGACTGAAAGGTCCCGGGTTCAATTCCGGTCAAGGGCATGTACCTTGGTTGCGGGCACTCCCCAGTAGGGGGTGTGCAAGAGGCAGCTGATCGATGATTCTCTCTCATCGATGTTTCTAACTCTCTATCCCTCTCTCTTCCTCTCTGTGAAAAATCAATAAAATATATTAAAGTACTGACTTCAGAAACAGACAGGCCTGATTATAATCTGGCTGTATATTAGTTAATTCTATGATCTTGGGCAAGGCACTTTAACTACACTATGTATCAGTTTTCGCATTTGTAAAATGAGCATAATAGTATGTACCTTGTAAAATTGTTGTGAGTACCTAGCCAATTTGGCTCAGTGGATAGAGTGTCAGCCTGCAGACTGAAGAGTCCTGGATTCAATTCCAGTCAAGGGCACGTGTCTGGATTGCAGGCTCGATCCCCAGTGTGGGGCTACAGACGATCAATGATTCTCTCTCATCATTGATGTTTCTCTCTCTCCCCCCTCCTTCCTCTCTAATATCAATAAAAATACATATATTTTTTAATTGTTGTATTAGAGATATCATATGAAAGAATGCATAACCTAGCATTTGACACACACACACACAAAAAAACTTAATAAAAAGTATTACTGGTTTCATGAAGAAAATACATTTTAAATTTATGCTGCACTTTTACAGAATAGGAAATGTGATTGAAGCAGAAATGCTTGCTATCAAATGGTTCATTTTAAGTATAAATTATTCATATCTATGAGGAAAAAAATGTTCTTTGCTATACTCCATTGAGCAATAGGTAGCTAATATTTAATAAGCACCTAACTCTTGTCCAATAATCAGTTACTATTTAATGAATATCAGAATATAACTGCCATAATGAGAACAAGGTTCAAGTTCCTATTAGGAACCATTTGAGAAAACCGTTTTTTGTGTGTTCTTTAAAGAAATGGTGTTTTAGTTTAAAGAGGCCTGTAAATACAGAGAAAAGAGTCATGGTTGCCAGAAAGGAGAAGAGCTGGAGGACTGTGTATGAAAGGTGAAGGGACTAAGTACAAACTGGTAGTGACAAAATAGCCACCAGGATGCGTAGTCAATAATATTGGAATATGGGGGGGGGGGCAATGTTAAAATATGTACACAGATAATAATTTAATTTAAAAAAAATAAAAATAAATTAAAAATAATAATATTGTAATAACTAGGTATGATATCGCATGGTCCTGGAAACATCAGGGGGAACACTTTGTAAAGTATATGATTATCTAACCACTATGTTGTCCACCTGAAACTAATACAAAATAATGTTGAATCTAAAAAAAAAATAGTTTTTTAAGATTAATAAATACCTTCATTCTTTATTTTATAGGTAATAAAACTGAAGCACAGTTAAATGAACCAACTTGTTCTTGTCATAATGTTACTTAATGGCAGAGGCAAGACTAAAATTTTTTGTTCTGAATTTTTGTTCCAGTCCCTCTTAAGGATGTTATTCTATATTAGAGGATAGGTGGTTTCCCATTTTTAATACATGTTAATTCATTGTTATTTTGAACTCAAATATTATTACATAAAAGCATATATATATATATATATTGTAATTTTCCCTCTACCTGACCTTTGGTATATCAGTTGTCCCAAAGGATACCTCTGTTACCAAATTTTTGAACTCTTATTTAGAAATATTATTTGCATATAAGTATGGTGTGTGTGTGTGCGCATGTATGCATACCCACATACTCCCACTTTTGTTTATGCAGATAGTAGGGTACTACAGTTTTGCACCTTGTTTTATAACTTAAAAGTATCTTGTTGATTGTTCTACATCACCACATAAAATACTTTTTTTTTCATTTATTTTTACTTTTATTATGAATTTTTTCAAATCTTTTTTTGTTTGTTAATCCTTACCCAAGGATATTTTTTTCTATTGATTTTTAGAGAGAGTAGGAGGGAGGGAGGTGGAAAGAGAGAGAAAAAAAAAAACATCCATATAAGAGAGACATACCAATTGGTTGCCTTCCACACATGTTCCAGCTGAGGTTGGGGATAGGAGTTTGGGTGGGAAAGTGGAAGGGGGAGGTCAGCAACCCAGGTATGTGCCCTTAATGGGGAATCAAACCTTTGACCCTTTGACCAATATTCCAACACTGAGCCACACTGGCCAGGTCTCAAATCATTTTTTAAAAATTGTATAGTGCCCCATATATGGATACTATAATTTATTTGATTCATCTCTTAATGATAGATGTTTAAGTTGTTTCTAGATTTTTGTCATTACAAAGAATGCTCAGTATTGTACATATGTCTGCATACACTGATAATTTATAATTTGAATTAGTAGAAATAGAATTGCTCAGTCAACTCAGTCATAGGATATGGACATTCTTAGTTTTGGTAGCTACTGTATAAAATTTTCTTCCAAGTTATACTTCAGCCAAAAATGTGAAAGTATCTATTTCTCAACTTCTTTTTTTTTTTTTTTTTAATATATTTTATTGATTTTGTACAGAGAGGAAGAGAGAGGGATAGAGAACTAGAAACATCGATGAGAGAGAGTCATCGATCAGCTGCCTCTTGCACACCCCCTACTGGGGATATGCCCGAAGCCAAGGTACATGCCCTTGACCGGAATCGAACCCGGGTCCCTTAAGTCCCCAAACTGACGCTCTATCCATTGAGCCAAACTGGTCTCGGCTATTTCTCAACTCCTTTGTCAGCATATCATATTATTAGTTTTTGTAAATCTTTGCTACTCTGGAAAGTAAAAACCATATCTCATAATTTCTTTTAGAATTTTTATTTATTGATTTTAAAAGGAGTAAGGGAGGGAAAGAGAAAGATATATCAATTTGTTATTTACCTGTTTATGCATTCATTGTATAAACAGGTAAATAACATATTTGTATGTGCCTTTACTGGGGATCAAACCAGCAACCTCTTGGTGCAGAGGACAACACTCCCACTAATTGAGCCACACTGGCCTGGGCAAAGCCAACTAACTTTTAAAATTCCACAGACCCTTATGAACAAAATGAGCTTGGATAAGCCCTTAGTTTTTCCTCTATCTTAAATTTAAAGTACAAAATTAAAAAGCCAGTGTTTAATATAAATTCTGGACTCTCCTAATGCTCTTAAAAGTTGTTTTTTCATTCTAAAAATAGCCCGTGCTCATTATTGTTTTTGAAATTTTATGTTAGAAAGTGGGAAGGCCACACATCCAGAAACAATCATCATTAGCATTTTGGTCTATTATTTTTTAAATATGGTTTTATTGACTTTAGAGAGAAGAGAGGAAGGGCAAGGGAGAGAAAGAGAAATATCTCTGAGAGAAAACCATCAGTTGGCTGCCTCCTGCGTGCCCATACTAGGGATCAAGCCCACAACCTGGGCATGTGCTCTGACTGGGAATCGAACCGTTGAACTCTTGGTGCATGGGACAACTCAACTAACATGAGCCACACCAGCCAGGACCTTTTTTTCTTTTATCTTATTTTTCCTTTTTTAATATATTTTTATTGATTTCAGAGAGGAAGGGAGAGGGAGAGAGAGAGGTAGAAACATCAATGATGAGAGAGAATCATTGATTGGCTGCCTCTTGCATGCCCCTTACTGGGGGGTCAAGCCTGCTACCCAGGCATGTGCCCTGGCCAGAAATCAAACCATGGCCTCCTAGTTCGTAGGTCAACACATAACCACTGAGCCACACTGGCTGGGTGCAGACCTTTTTAATATAAGTATTGTGCCTTATGTACAGCTTTTTTCAAAATATATTTTATTGATTTTTTACAGAGAGAAAGAGAGAAGGATAGAGAGTTAGGAACATCAGTGAGAGAGAAACATCGATAAACTGCGTCCTGCACATACCCCACTGGGGGTGTACCTGCACCAAGGGACATGCCCTTGACCAGAATGGAACCCAGGACCCTTCAGTCCACATGCAGATGCTTCATCTACTGAGCCAAACTAGTTTTGGCATGTACAGCTTTTTATCTTGCTTTTTTCTTAACATTCTTTGTTATAAACTGTAATAACATTTTTAGTGACTACCAACATTTTGAATGGGATTACCTAAATTTACTTAACTTAAAAAAATTTTTTAAAAAATAATTTCTATATATACACAATCATGAAAGGTATACATTCTGAGACATTCCTCGTTAGGTGATTTTATAGTTGTGCAGACATCATGGAGTGCATTTACACAAACATAGGCTGAATAGCCCACTGCACACCTAGACTGTACGGTATTACCTATTGCTCCTCAGCTGTAAGCCTCTACACCTTGTTACTGTACAAGACTACCTGAGATGAAATCAAACACAAGAGAAAACGATGCAGTCAGGAGACACAATAAGCAAAATGTATGAGGCTGCTGCTGGTATGACAAGTATAAAGAGTACACTCCAAAACAATGATTTAAAGTAGAGTATAGTTGCCAAAACCGGTTTGGCTCAGTTGATAGAGCGTCGGCCTGCGGACCCAAAGGTCCCAGGTTCGATTCCGGTCAAGGGCATGTACCTTGATTGCGGGCACATCCCCAATAGGGGATGTGCAAGAGGCTGCTGATTGATGATTCGCTCTCATCGATGTTTCTAACTCTCTTTATCCCTCTCTCTTCCTCTCTGTAAAAAATCAATAAAACACATTTTTTTTTAAAGTAGAGTATAGTTAATACACAAATATACTCATTCACTATAATTTTCATGTGTAATTTTGTGCTATATTTTATATGATTGGCAGTGCCATAGGTTTGTTTGCACCAGCATCTCCACAAACATGAGTGATGCATTGCGCTGCAACTTTATGGCCGCTATGATGTCACTAGGTGATAGGGGTTTTTCAGCTCCATTACCGTCTTATGAGACCGCCCCCCCTTTCCTTCTATCTTCAGTCTGTTTTTGACCTAAACAACCTTTACAGGGAAGTAGATTATACTGTGAAGTGGCTTTTTTAGACCTAGCAATCTGACAGAAAAATATCATTTTCTTACACTTAGAAAAAGTGCATCATCACCTTGTGTGGTTGTGCACATCTGAATTACCGCAAAACTTCACTTGAAAATCATCCTTAATATTACCAGAGGTCCAATTGAGTTAGGTAGGCTTTTTGGACCATTTTCCATTTTTTAAGGCAAATTCAAAATAAAAAAATACTCAGGAATTTTCTGTGGAAAAAAATGATAACACTAAATCCCTTGTAAATGTTCTCAAAGTAGTAACTAATAGCTTGTGTTATTTGGTACATTCATAGAGAATAAATTAAACTGTTTATAATACTATATTCCACGTTCTTGATGGTATGCTTTTAGGGTCTGAAATAATCTTGAGTATATTTTAAACATATTGCTTATTCATTCTTATAACAATTCTAGGTCGACCGGCTATTCTGAGGTGATAGTCGTCGTTGGCGGCTGTGAACGCGTCGGAGGGTTTAACCTTCCATACACTGAGTGCTATGATCCTGTGACCGGAGAATGGAAGTCTTTGGCTAAGCTTCCAGAATTCACCAAATCAGAGTATGCAGTCTGTGCACTAAGGAATGACATTCTTGTTTCAGGTAATAAAGAATTGTTGTAGCTACTTTTAATTGGAACATAGCTTGGTTGTTTTAAATCAAAAGTGTCACAGAAGAAAACAGTGACACTGGTTATTATGCCCACTTTAGGCAGATCAGTTTATACGACAGATAAAACCAAGATGATATTTTGCTGTAACTACAGTGTCTATGGTCTTAAGTCTGTTAATTGATTAATCCTACTAGCTTTGCAGATCACTAGATTACTACGTATTGAACATATAACAACACATTTTATTTTGTACAATGGTATGCCTTTTTAAAACTCAATCATTTTTAAAAAAAATTTTTAAAGTAATTCTGGCCCTGACCGGTTTGGCTCAGTGGATAGAACATCCACCTGCAGACTGAAAGGTCCTAGGTTTAATTCTGGTCAGAGGCATGTACCTTGGTTGCAGGCACATCCCCAGTAAGAAATGTGCAAGAGACAGCTGATCGATGTTTCTAACTCTCTATCCTTCTGCCTTCTCTGTAAAAAATCAATAAAAAATTTTTTTAAATGGACACAAGATACTGGGGGAGGAGGGGTGGAATGAGGGCATGTGACAGGGAATAGGGGAGACTGGGGGAAGGACAATGGGGGAGGGTAGAGAAGGAGATATATGTACTACTATATGTAATACTTTAAACAATAAAATATCTTTAAAAAAAAATAATAATTCTGGCCCAGCCAGCATGACTCAGTGGTTGAGTGCCGACCTAGAAACCAGGAGATTACAGGTTTAATTCCGGGTCAGGGCGCATGCCTGGGTTGCCAGCTTAATCCCCAGTAGGGGGTGTGCAGGAGGCAGCTGATGGATGATTCTCTCTCATCATGGATGGGTTTCTCTCTCTCTCTCTCTCTCATCAATAAAAATATATTTTTAAATAATAATAATAATTGTTTTTCAGGTGCTTCTGATGACCGACTTTACATTTGTAAAATTCAGAGTTTGCATTTTATTATTTGAGGCCTATAATTATTTATTTTATTTTTAAGATATATTTTTATTTGTTTCATAGAGGACAGGAGAGGGAGACAGAGATAGAGAGAATCATTGATCAGCTGCCTCCTGGCCACCCCCCACTGGGGAAAAAACCGGCAACCCGGGCATGTGCCCTGACCAGGAATCTAACCATAACCTCCTGATTCATGGGTCAGTGCTTAACAACTGAGCCACGCTAGCCAGGCTGTAATTATTTCTCAAGATAACTGTTGGCAATGTTAAAATCTGTTCTGTAGAACTATTTGCATTAAGCTTTCAGAGGGTCCTTGTTTTCATTTATTGAACTGAATTCTTAAATCCTTGGGCTGAGTGAATAAATCCCGTGTTTTATTATTTATGCCTTGGGCACAGATCCTTTGGTGCTAGGTACATATATATTGAATGCGCATTGTTTTGCATTTGAAGGTGGAAGAATCAATGGCCGTGATGTCTGGATTTATAATTCACAGTTAAATATTTGGATCAGAGTTGCTTCTCTAAACAAAGGCAGATGGCGTCACAAAATGGCTGTCCTCCTGGGTAAAGTAAGAGAAACCACTTTTTATCACTATTGCTGGTACATTTCCAAAATAAACACCACAGCTGAATCCTTTATTTTACTCACCCTCTGGGTATTTTGGCTTCAAATTGTATTTCCTTCCATTTCTAACCTCAGTAGATAAACTGAAGATATAAACAATTTGACACTGTACTTTTGAATGGATAGTTTGTTCTCTCAATTTGGAATTCGTGACAGTACACCACATTTCTCTTTTCATGCGCCATTGGAGTCTAAATGCCTAAGAAGCATTGGAAAATAAAGGCGTTGCATTGAGTACAAAAACATGCCAATGTCTAATCCAAGCAGTTTTTTCCCTTTTACTGACTTTGGCAGTCAGGCAGAGATATATTTATCTAGAGTGATGCTATTTTATCTTTTTTATTTGTACAAGTAGCGGCAAAACAAACTTAAAGCAAGTATGAAGATAAACTCACCAACATATTTTAAACTAAACTTGTTATTGACTGCAGCTAATAAGTATTATAAAAACTATGTAATTTGGTTCGGAACCCTTTGCTGTTCTTAGGAACTTGGGAATCACTTGTGGACAAGTGGTCTCCAAACTTTTTAAAATTAACTACACCCTCCTTTTTAAAGTTAAGTCTAATGTAAATTTTATTCCAAGAGCTAACTTGGGTCCTTTAGTTTTTCCCTGCCTCCATCTCTATCAGCTCTTCCAAAGCCTCCTCAAACTGACAAACAGTCTAAGAAAAAGCAGCCTACTTGCTTGCACATGTATTTTTTTTTAATATATTTTTTTGATTTTTTACAGGGAGGAAGGGAGAGGGCTAGAGAATTAGAAACATCGGTGAGAGAGAAACATCAATCAGCTGCCTCCTGCACACCCCCTACTGGGGATGTTCCTGCAACCAAGGTATATGCCCTTGACCGGAATCCAACCTGGGACCCTTCAGTCCACAGGCCAAGGCTCTATCCACTGAGCCAAACCGGTTTCGGCTACATGTATTTTTGTCTGGTCCCTTAGTACCAGGCTCTCCTGTGGAGATATTTCTGAGCTACCAATGAGAAAACAGAATTGCTCTAATTTGAAACAGAGATGGTACCAGGATCCTCTCCCACACAGCCTCCCCTCTCCCATGCCCATAGAGGCTTCTAGATAATCTGTCTCTACTCTAGAATACCAGAGCTTCTCGAAGCACAGAGGAAAGCCACGGTTAATTCCTAAGGATTTTTTTTTATTATTATTATTCCTAAGGATATTGATCTAGTGTGGTGCTGCCGTCAACAAGGTCAGTGAAATATTAGATATTTGTAATGGAAATATTAGATAGATGTAATGGAAAGAAAATATTAATAGAATATTTTTTATAAAACCCTGGTTTGGCAGTACTTACTATATTATATATAGTTTTGGTAGCTATGCCTCAAGAATGACAAAATTTTACTGAAAAGGGACTGCTAAAGTAAGGGGAAGAGATGAGGTCTGACTAAAAATATTATAATTAGTCCTAACTGGCCTGTGAGCTGAAGGATCCCAGGTTCGATTCCAGTCAAAGGCATGTATCTTACTTGCGGGCACATCCCCAGTAGGGAGTGTGCAGGAGGCAGCCGATAAATGTTTCTCTCTCATTTATGTTTCTAACTCTCTATTCCTCTCCCTTCCTCTCTGTAAAAAAAATCAATAAAATATATTAAAATAAATAAATAAAACAAAATAAAAATATAATTAGTGAACATACAAAGGTATTAAAATTATTTATCAAATACTTTATATGGATTAATTAACACAAATTTATTTCATGAATATCAGTATATTTGACTTGAGCTACCCAAAATTTGGAATCACTAAATCAAGAAATAGCCGAAACCGGTTTGGCTCAGTGGTAGAGCGTCTGTCTGCAGACTGAAAGGTCCCAGGTTCCATTCCAGTCAGGGGCATGTACGTTGGTTGCGGCCACATCCCCGGTAGGGGGTGTGCAAGAGGCAGCTGGTCGATATTTCTCTCTCATCGACGTTTCTAGCTTTCTATCTCTCTCCCTTCCTCTCTGTAAAAAAATCAATAAAATATATATTTTTTTAAAAGAAATAAGAGGAATCTTTCCTACTATATACAGCAAGTACTCAATCCATGGAAACCATTATTCTAAAGTTTACAGTATAGGCTGAATTCAAACCTATACAAATATTTAAATTTATTATGCCGAAACCGGTTTGGCTCAGTGGATAGAGCCTCGGCCTGCGGACTGGAGGGTCCCAGGTTTGATTCCGGTCAAGGGCATGTACATTGGTTGCGGGCACATCCCCAGTGGGGTGTGCAGGAGGCGATTGATCGATGATTCTCTCTCATCGATGTTTCTAACTCTCTATCCCTCTCTCTTCCTCTCTGAAAAATCAATAAAAAAACATATTAAAAAAATAAAAATATTTAAATTTATAAACGTTCTCTGTAAAAGAACCCTAGGATGGCTTGGAATATAGAATCTTAGCACATGAAGGAATCTTAGAGAATACTTACTATAACTTTTTCAATTCATAAAGTGGGCCAGCCAGTGTTACTCAGTAGTTATAAGCACCAACCTATGAACCTGGAGGTCACAATTCCAGGTTGGGGCACATACCTGGGTTTTGCGCTCTATCCCTAGTAGGAGGCTTGCAGAAGGCAGCCATTCAATGATTCTCTCTCATCATTGATGTTTCTCTCTCTCTCTCCCTCTCCCTTACTTTCTGAAATCAATGAAAAAAAATACATATTTTTTAAAATTAATAAAGTTAATCCAGAGACCCAAGTCACTTGCCCAAGATATACAGAAAGTGATAAAGGGACAAAAGCTCTGATTTTCTTAGGCTAGCGGGGTTTTATCTTGATGCTCACAGCACTTATTTTTAATGTAGGGAAAATTAGGTAGCCCTAGGCAGGGTGATAAGATCAGTTGGTTAGAGTGTCATCCTAGTTTGCCAAGCCTGTGGGTTTGATTCCCAACAGAGCACATACAAGAAGCAACCAATGAATGCATAAATAAGTGGAACAACAAATTGATTTCTCTCTCTCTTTCTCCTTCTCTCTCTCTCTCTCTCTCTCTCTCTCTCCCCCCGCCCCCCTGCCCCACTGTCCTCATCCCTATCTCCTTCCTCTCTCTCTCTAAAATCAATTAACTTTTTTTATAAAAAGAAATTAGGACTGAGTCTCAGAGAGTATAAATTGCCCAAAGTCTTAACATTGTCTGGCTGCCTCTCCTGACTCCAAAGCCTATATCCCACTGGCTGCATTGTAGGACAGTTTCCATATCCCTTCTAACTGCACAACCTTGAGTAAGTTGCTTAGCCTCTCTGAACTACATGGTGTTAGAACAAACCCACCAACAGATCATTTTTAACATAATGTGAGAAAAGCAAGATAGAAATGGCATTGGCTGCTGTGGAAATTTGGCGGAACACAGACTTTCAGTGATAATATATAACAGCCTTGATCCTTAGGCATTCATTATTGAACTATTAAAAGGAATTGATGAGGTGTTTTAGTAAGATTAGTCTGTGGTTTAGAGACCAGGAGTATGAAATGATATGGACCCTGAGGGAGGATAATGGCAACAGGAAACAAAAGAAAGGGACAGATGTCAGAGATATTGTGAAAGAAGACTCAGTAAGTATTAATAGTTAATTAGATGTGGAGGGAAGAGTTGATGATGACTGTCCTTTAAAAGAACTTTGGATGTTAAACAGGAGAGCTCCTTTAGTTAGAAGTGTCTTGTATGTCTCATTATGTTTAATGGACTATTTTACATATAAGTCACTTAATAAATGGCTCGTTCATTAGATCATCTGTCATATAAAGATATTAATTTGCCCTATCTTCCTAATATTTGTGAAAATAAAATGTACATGAAAGCCCTTTGAAATATATAGTATGGAGTTCATTATGTGTTAGGTACTTGTCTAGGCACTTGTAGAGATTAAAATGAAGAACAAGCCCTAACTGGTTTGGCTCATGGGATAGAGCATTAGCCTGCGGACTAAAGATTCTGGTCAAGGGCACATGCCTGGGTTGGGAGCTCAATCCCCAGTAAGGGACATGCAGGAGGCAGCCAAGCAGTGATTCTCTTTCATCATTGATGCTTCTATCTTTTTCTTCCTATCCCTTCCTCTCTGAAAACAATAAAAATATATTTTAAAAAATAAAATAAAATACGAACAAGAGCGGCCCTGCCTCCAAAGATCTCAGTCTAGTAATCCTTACCTAGTATTGTATTTACATAGCTTTCTTACTTTATCATAATCTTATATTTTCATCATTCATGAGTATGAGCATTTAAACTTAAGTCATGTAATTCTTAGCTCAAGCAGTATTATCTCTAAGGAGGTGAAGATTTGTTCTTGAAGGGGTAAGAAAAAATGTAGTTTCATGTATAAAGCACAGATATACATACAGTACATAAACAGATATACAATTATCTGTGGTATTAAAATTTCATTGGAGGAGGCTATTATGAAAAAAATGTCTAAAAGACTTTGGTGGTGATAAATTTTTTAAAGTTTCAGAAACTGAGCTAAATATATTGCAGTTATAGTTATCAATTGCTCTTTAAAGGGGAGAGGTCACTTAATTCTTTAGCCAACTAGTTCAGCATTCCAGCTTTGTTAATTAAGATTCTTTCCTATGTGTTTTATATATAGGTATATGTTGTTGGAGGCTATGATGGGCAGAACAGACTTAGCAGCGTAGAATGTTACGATTCCTTTTCAAATCGATGGACTGAAGTTGCTCCCCTGAAGGAAGCAGTGAGTTCTCCTGCTGTGACCAGCTGTGTAGGCAAACTGTTTGTGATTGGTGGAGGACCTGATGATAATACTTGTTCTGATAAGGTAAGCCATGATCTCTTACAGAAATTACCAATGATATATAAAAAGAGAAATATGCAAGGCTTTTCAAGGGGGTAGCGAGGTTTCTTAGAGTGAAAGGCCTTTTGAAACTTGGTACTTGATACTTTTGAGGGAAAATACTGAATTTCAAGTTAGTAAAGAGATTCTAATATATCTGTCAATTTTCTGTAAAAAGCACGATTTGATCTGTTTGAAATGAGACTAATTTCAATGTTGAGATCTTGTACTAAATAAGTTGTTTTAAACCTTTTACTGCTATAATCAACAGAATCGAAAAATTATTCACACAAAACACAGTTGGGAAATGAATTAGCAAAGGATAAGACACAGTTACTAATTATGTCACCTCCAACTGGGTCATTTTCTGCATACTTTACAAGTATTTTTTAGAACAAAGGTGAGAAAAGGAAACCTCTGTAATATAAATGGAGGATCGTTCAAATTTGCTGCGTTTCAATTGAAATTTTGGACAAAAGAACTTATGCCACCCTGACATCTCAGGAAATACAAAGTTTATTCTGGGATGAGGATCCAAGATGGCTGCTCGGGTAGACATCTAACCCGGCAGCACACAATTTCAATGGAATACAACTAAGATGTAGAGTGGACATTGCCCAGAGCTACAGGTAGTCGACTGACTGAAAATTCTACAACAAGAAGGAAAGAGAAAACCAGAAGGAAAATCAGAGGAGCTGAAAAAAAGCCTAAGGTACAGAGACATGCTGCGCGCACGGAGAGGTCGCAGCCGGAGAGGAGGAGAGGGCGGGGAGCTGCCTTTCCTTCCCTAGCAGGAAGGAAATAAAACCCCCAGCCTGGGCTGAACCCCCGAACCAGCAGCGCTGAGCCCCCCCGAACCGGCAGCGCTGAGCCCCAGTTATGGGCCAGACCCTGGGGACCCAGGCTCCGGTGGGAGGAGACGGGGCCGTGAGGCGGAAAAACTGCGAAAAGCAGGGCCCCGGGAGTCGCGCGCAATGCGCGCAGAGGACTGAATGTTGACTCTGATGCTGGGTTGCCCTAGCCGGAAGAAACAAGGCCTCCGGCGGCGCTGAGCCTCAGTCCGGACTGCTCCGAACCCCAGTTCTGGGCTAATCCCTGGGGACCCAGGCTCAGGCAGAGGGAGACGGGGCTGTGAGGTGGAGTCTGGGGAGAGCGGCGAAAGGCCGGGCCCCCCGGGACTCGCGCAAACTGCGTGCAGAGGACAGTCTGTTGACTCTGATGCTGGACTTCCCTAGCGGGAAGGAGAAAAAAAAAAAAAGCTCTAGGCTGGGGGAACGCGGAGGGGAGCGGAAGCCCCTGCCGGACTCCAGCCAACCGGGCACCAGCAAGGAGGCGGGCCACGGGGCCCCTGGGGGCGTGGGTGCCCCTGAGCCTTTGACCACTGAGCTCCAGCAATGGAGCCAAGGCCCGGGGCTGCTTCCTGGGCAGCGTTGTCCCGGCAACAGGCTGAAGCAGCGCAGGAGCCCTCCGAGAACAAAGGGGTGCCACAGGCCAACCTGCTGAGCTCCCAGGACAAGGAGGAAGAAACCAAAGAAGTTCTCAATGTGAAGAAATCAAGTGAGAGCAAAAAATAGTAAAATTACTTAAGAAAGAATACAAAGAAGATCTTGAAAAATCAAAGACTAAGTCAGAACTCAACTCAACAGCCAACATTGCAACATAAATGCGTTTTAAAAAGAAAAAAAGAAAAAAAAAAGGACAGAATGTTGGAACAGCGGCGGCCAGGCCTAGAGTGGCCAGGCACAAGGCAGTGGCAGCCAGGCCCGGAGCAGCAACGGCAGGCCCCAGAACAACAGCAGCCAGAACCAGAGCATCAAGAGCCAGCACTGGAGTAGCCAGACCTGGGGCAGTGGCAGCCAGGCATGAGGCGGAGGCGGCCAAGCCCAGGGTGGCCAATCCAGGAACACCCAGACCCGAGTGGACGGGCCCGGAGAAGCCGGACCCAGAGCAGCCGGGGTGGGAGCAGCCAGACCCAGAACAGCAGTAGCCAAGCCCAGAGCATTCAGGTCAGGAGTGGCCAGGCTCGGAGCGGCCGGGCCCGGGGCAGCCGGGCCCAGAGCAGCCGGGTCGGGTGCGGCCAGACCCGGAGCAGAGGCTGCCAGGCTGGGAGCGGCCAGGCCCGGGGGAGCAGCCGGGGCTGGTGCGGCCAGGCCCGGAGCAGCGGCTGCCAGGCTGGGAGCGCAGGCCCGGGGGAGCAGCCGGGGCTGGTGCGGCCAGGCCCGGAGCAGCGGCTGCCAGGCTGGGAGCGGCCAGGCCCGGGGGAGCAGGCGGGTCGGGTGCGGCCAGGCCCGGAGCAGCGGCTGCCAGGCTGGGAGCGGCCAGGCCCGGGGGAGCAGGCGGGTCGGGTGAGGCCAGGCCCAGAGCAGCGGCTGCCAGGCTGGGAGCGGCCAGGCCCGGGGGAGCAGCCGGGGCTGGTGCGGCCAGGCCCGGAGCAGCGGCTGCCAGGCTGGGAGCGGCCAGGCCCGGGGGAGCAGCCGGGGCTGGTGCGGCCAGGCCCGGAGCAGCGGCTGCCAGGCTGGGAGCGGCCAGGCCCGGGGGAGTAGGCGGGTCGGGTGCGGCCAGGCCCGGAGCAGCAGCTGCCAGGCTGGGAGCAGCCAGGCCCGGGGGAGCAGGCGGGTCGGGTGCGGCCAGGCCCGGAGCAGCGGCTGCCAGGCTGGGAGCAGCCAGGCCCGGGGGAGCAGGCGGGTCGGGTGCGGCCAGGCCCGGAGCAGCGGCTGCCAGGCTGGGAGCGGCCAGGCCCGGAGCAGCAGCAGCCAAGTCCAGAGCAACTAGGTCAGAAGCGGCAGTGACCAGACCCGGAGCAGCTGGATGTGGAACGAACCAGAGCAACAGAGGCCAGGCCCTGAGCAGCCAGGCCCAGAACAGCTCGCTCCTCGCCTGCCCCTGCCCCTGCCCCACGGCTGCTTCTCAGACATGGCTGGAAACTTTCGTGGGAACTTGAGGGACTGCTGAATCAAGTGATGAAGGCTTAGATCTGGATGTGTTGAGTTAGTATAGGGCTGGGGTGTTGATCTGTGAGTTCCTTGGGTGGGGTCTGGATGAGGCTGGTGGACCTATTGGGAAATGTCTTTTGTGTGAAGTGTATCATTGGGCAGGTGGAGGTATTATTGATTTGAGAAAATGCTAAGTAACTGATTTACTATCTGAAAAGGGATTTACTATTGGGGAAAGGGAGGGAAGAAGAGACTGAACATGAACTGTGCACCTACGGATGAGGACAATGGGGGATGGGGAGGGGGTAGAGGGTGGGGTGGGAACCTGGTGGAGGGGGGAAGAAATGAGGAACCTTTGTAATAATATGAACAATAAAGATTGATTTAAAAAAAATAAAAAAAAATAAAAAAAAAGATTAAAAAAAAAAAAAGTTTATTCTGGAAACAACTGTCTATTACCTAATTGGTTTAGCAATAGTTAACTGAATTTTATCAATTAATTTTTTTTCTAAATTAACTTTACACAATGTGGTCAAAAGTTACATATTTAAAATTCATTAATTCAGAATTTGTTATCATTCAGAGTACACGGAATTGAGAAAGATATACTTAAAAGTGAAAAGAAATGATATTCAGATTAAATTATAGTTATGCTATATAATACAATTTTTTTTAAATCTAAACTATTCATTTTAATAGAAATAAGTAAAGCAGACTTGGTAGCCATTCCTCCTGGAAGCAATCTCTGTTTGTTACTTTATTCCGCTTGATGATAATAAATGTACATTTGAGAATTTCATATTTCATAGTTAACTATCAAGCTAACTCCCTTAATTCTGTGAATTAATAGGTTTGACTTTTAATTATGTTTCTATATATTGATAGGCTTTTTCTTTTCTTTTCTTTTTTAATTGATTATGGTATCACATAATTGTCCTCATCCCCCCATTCCCATCCCAAACCCCTCCCCATGTATCCCCCAACCCCCCTGTTGTCCATGACCACTGGTTAGGCTTATATGCATGCATACAAATCCTTTGGTTGATCTCTCCCTCTTACCCCCATCTTCCTCTACCTTCCCTCTGAGGTTTGGCAGTCTTGATCGCTGCTTCTCTGTCTCTGGGTCTGTTTTTGTTCATCAGTTTATGTTGTTCATTATTTCCCCTAGATGTGTGAGATCATGTGATTGAAGAACCGAAACTGAGACAAGCCATAATGGTTTTCCTTGATAGGCTTTTTATTAAGCAAATTTACATTTTTGTTTAGAAATTTTAATTAAACATTTCTTTGTATTATTAGGTTCAATCTTATGATCCAGAAACCAATTCTTGGCTACTTCGTGCAGCTATTCCAATTGCCAAGAGATGTATAACAGCTGTATCCTTAAACAACTTGATATATGTTGCTGGCGGACTGACCAAGGCAATATACTGTTACGATCCAGTTGAAGATTACTGGATGCACGTACAGAATACATTCAGCCGGCAGGTAATAACATAAAAATCCTAAAGAAAAATGAATGTAGGAGGACTAAGTACATGACAATCATGAAAATATTACAATTCTGGTATTAAAATATTTCAAGCATGCTTGAACTATTTCATAAATTTTTAAAAATTTTTTACCATCCCATGGCGAAGTAGCTATTGTGCTTGAGCTGTTGATTTTTTCCCCCTCGACGTCAGACCCTGCTCTAGTCTTTATCACTCTCTTGCATATTTTAAAAAATAAGAAATACTCCCAAACTGGTTTTTTCTTTGTGTAGTCTGAAGCTAGTTGTTTATTTGTTACAAAGAAAATGGCTGATCGTGTTTTCATCCACATACTCTGGCCTGTATCTTCCTGCTCTCCCCCCCCCCCCCCCCACTGCTCCCAAAAAAGGCCTCCCCTCAGCCTTTCGATTGATGGCTCCACTCTTCTTTCTTCTTCCAAAAGGCATGATGGTTCTGATGCGGGAAATCTGGTTCTGCCCATACCACTCTAGAGATCTTATACTCTCAAAGCTCATTCCTCATCACCTCCCAGACTCATTCATATTTGCTTATTGACCAATTGCCGAGGAGCACCACTGCTGCGTTAGCCAGTCATGAGCCTAGCTGCTGGCTGAGCGGCACACCCCCTATGGGAGCACACTGACTGACCACCAGGGGGCAGCTACTGCATTGAGCGTCTGCCTCCTGGTGGTCAGTGCATGTCATAACGACTGGTCGTTCAGCCATTTGGTCGATTTGCATATTAGCTTTTTATTATATAGGATTTTCCATGAGTGTTCTTCCCCAAACCTACTTTTTCTGTTTTCAAATAAGCTAGTGAATGGAAAAACCCTGTTTCTCCCTTACTCTCAAAACACTTCTGACACCAGAAATGTGTGTTTTTCCTACAGCAGTTACTTCTTCACAGTCTGGGTGTCTTACAATTCAATTCTGCTCTGACACTATCTACCTGGACTTAGTGTTAGATTCCACAAGTCAAGGGCTCAGTTCCACTAGACTGTCCCTGCTTCAAATGCCAATCACAAGTTCCAGGTTGTCCCCAGTATTTCTGATCTACCAGCTAAAAATCCAGGTTCCCACCTCTAGTTTGATAATTTGTTTGAACAGCTCACTGAATTCAGAGAAACATTCTTTTTTGTTTCCTGGTTTATTGTGTAAAGGGGTGTTCTAAAGGATACAGGTGAACAGCCAGATGAAGAGGTGTATAGAATGAGGTTCAGAAGGGCCCTGTCATTGTGCAGTTGGGATGTGCCACCCTCCCAGCACACGGAAGTGTCAACAACCTGAACACTCTCCAAATCCCATACTTTGGAGATCATGTAGGCGTGATAAATTATTAACTCAGTTTCCAGCCCATCTCCCTTCTCCTCTAATCATGGCTTCACCTTTCTGGCGACCAGCCCCCAGCCAGGAACCCACCAAGAGTCACCTCATTAGAGCAAAAGACACTCCTATCACCCAGGAAATTCCAAGAAATTTAGATGCTCTGTATCAGAAACGTGGGGCCAGAGACAAATATACACATACATCTTCTGTCTATAATAATTAAGTGTAATATGCTAATTAGACCGGACAGCCAGACGACCTCCAGGACGAAGCCACAGCTGCAAGGGCTGAGCTCCTTGCACAACCTCGTGCATCAGGCTTATTAATTCACAGCTAGAAAACTTCCTAGATTTTCTTCTCTTTTATATTCGATCAATCTAACCTGTTAGTTCTCAGAGTTTCTCCTATTCTTTTCTATTCCCATTCTTGCTTTTGTTCAAGTTCTTATCAGTTCCTACCTAAACTGAAGCAATAATAATCTAGTGTTCCTTTGACTAATGTCTTGCTTCTCTAACCCATTTTGCCACCAATTATTTTCCAATAAATGTAATAATCATGTCTCTCCTCTGATTGGAAACTATTGAGTAAAATCCAAAATTTTCCTACTTCCTTCTATTCTAAGCCTGTGTTGGCTGACCTCTGCTTGCCTTTTTAGCTTCACTTTCTGCAACTATACCTCAATTATATTAATATCTACTATAAGATATATAGATATAGATATAGATAGATAGATAGATCTTATGTGTTCTTGCCTTAGTTCATACTGTTACCTTAGCCCCTCTTGCCTTTTCTGGTTTCTGTGTTCACTAAGAAACGATAAGTCATCTAATTTCATGGTAGACAGTTATTTGAATCCAAGGCTACATTTTCTTTTCTTTCTTTCTTTTTTTATTTTTAATACATTTTATTATTTTTAGAGAGGAAGGGAGAGGTAGAGAGAAATAGAAACAGCAATGATGAGAGAAAATCATTGATTGGCTGCCTCCTGCACACTCCATACTGGTGATCAAGCCTGCAACCCAGGCATGTGCCCTTGGCCGGAATCAAATCTGGGACCTTTAGTCCACAGGCCGACGCTCTAGCCATTGAGCCAAACCAGTTAGGGCAACATTTTCTTAAATGCTTAAAAGAGCTAAAAAAAAAAAAAAAAATGTTTTTTTGTTTGTTTGTTTTGCAGTCCAAATGGACCCAGCCTTTTTCTCTCACTATTTTCATGCTTCTTGACTTTGCATAATTTATAAAAGCCACAGTTTGCTATTTTAAACATTTTGCATTTTAATTTTTGTCAGAAATATCCTTTGAAAATATTGTGGGATTTTAATTCAATTATGATTTTTTTAATCTTTTTTCAGTAGACCAGTTATTTAAAGTGTCATTAAAGTTTAAAATAATAAATGAAATATGATTCTCTTTTACTTTATTGTTGGCATTTAAGCCTAAGGATTATAAATAATAATAATTAAGGAGAGGATTATTGATTTGTTTTTTTTACAGTATTAGGATTGTGTTTCATTTTAATCTATAGTACATGTAATTTCCTGATATGAAAGTATAACTATTTCAGGGTTGCTTGTTTGGTTTAATTCTGAGCATTATTATCTGAAATGATGTTAATAACAAGATCCTATTAACAATATAGTTTAAGAATCATCATAAAAGTGACTGTAAGGTTTAGTCATGAGGGTTTGCTTAGCCCTGGAAACTAAGGATTTTTTTTTTTTTGTGGGTGTGTGTTTTTAAGTATATTTTTATTGATTTCAGAGAGGAAGGGAGAGGGAAAGAAAGATAGAACATCAATGATGAGAGTCATTGATCGGCTGCCTCCTGCGCACCCCTTAACTGGGGAGCAAGCCTGCAACCTGGGCTTGTGCCCTGATTGGGAATCGAGCTGTGATCTCCTGGTTCATTAGTCGATGCTCAACCACTGAGCCACACTAGCTGGGCAGGATGTTATTTTTTATTGTAGTAACAACTTTTAGAATTTAATAGAAAAAGCTTGTGTACTTTAAAAATATGTATTTTTAAATATATTTTATTGATTTTTTTTTTTTTTTTTACAGAGAGAAAGGGAGAGGTATAGAAAGTCAGAAATATCGATGCGAGAGAAACATCAATCAGCTGCCTCCTGCACATTCCCCACTGGGGATGCGCTCGCAACAAAGACACATGCCTTTGATCGGAATTGACCCGGGGCCCTTTAGTCCGCAGGCCGACACTCTGTGTACCAAGCCAAACCGGTTTCGGTTTCGGTTTCGGCTTTGGCTAAAATAAATATATATATATATATATATATATATATATATATATATATATATATATATATATATTTTTTTTAATTGATTTCAGAGAGGAAGGGAGAGAGAGATAAAAACATCAATAATGAGAGGATCTTTGATCGGCTACCTCCTGCATGCCCCACACTGGGGATCGTGCCTTGACCGGGAATCAAAACGTGATCTCCTGGTTCATAGGTCATCGCTCAACCACTGACCCACACTGGCTGGGCATAGCTTTGTACTTTAGATGAAAAATGTTATAGTTTGGCACATAATTGGTACAATTCATGGGTTAGGTCACTCAATAATTAGCCAAGTCATTCTGGATGTATATGAACTATAATATAGGCATTTTTAAGTACTCATTTTTTAAATTATTATTATATTTATTTTTTAGAGAGAGAGAAAGGGGAGAGAGAAATTGTTTTTCTATTTATTTACACATGCATTCGTTGCTTCTTTTTTCTTTTAATATATTTTATTGATTTTTTACAGAGAGGGAGAGGAATAGAGCTAGAAACATCGATCAGCTGCCTCTTTGCACCCCCACCACCACCACTGGGGATGTGCCCGCTATTGATTGCCTCTTGTATGTGCCCTGACCAGAGATCAAACCTGCAACCTTAGCATATCGGGACAATGCTCTACGCAACTGAGCTACCCGGGCAGACTCACTAATTCTTTTATACCCGAAGATACTATCCTAATCATATTATAGCCACTTCCTATAATAAAGAATCTTCCTGTAATAGAAGAAGCAAGCCAAGCTCTTCAAATATGTTTTCTTTCAGTTATCATTAGGTTAAAACCCATCTCTCAGTCCACCACCCTCTCTTCACCCCCTACAACTTGGCCCAATTACTAAATATATTTTTTATCTTAACACTCACTTCATCCATGCAAAATTACCACTCACACATAGAGTAAAAAGTTCAGCAAAAGGGAGCTTATTTCATGTCTCCTTTTATTGACAGTGTTAAAGCATGTCTTATTTTACTGTTCAGCTGCTACCAAATCTCTTACCTTCAACAATTAATGTGAGATTTTTTTTTATGTGTTTGTTAAAACAGGAAAACTGTGGTATGTCTGTGTGTAACGGTAAAATATATATCCTGGGTGGAAGACGGGAAAATGGAGAAGCCACAGACACTATTCTCTGTTATGATCCTGCAACGAGCATCATCACAGGGGTAGCTGCGATGCCCAGGCCCGTGTCCTATCATGGCTGTGTGACTATCCACAGATACAATGAGAAATGCTTTAAGCTCTAACACCAGGGTTCTTCACCCAAGAAGCCACACCGATCCAAGACGAGAGGTTTCAAAAGCTCCAGAGTGGGACCTTGGCATATCTCCTTTCTGCCATATGCACAAAAAGTAAAAACAGTAATCGTGGTGCCTTTCTCCCCAAAATATCAATCTTTCAAACTGTAGTAAAGCCTTCCCTGCAATTGGAAAATAAAAGGGGCTTGGATTATTGTTGAAGATAATGGTGGTGTTGCTTGGGCTTTGAAAATGCATCTTTGTAAATATTTGTGAGAAACCTATGTGGAATAGGAGATACTGTCTGTCTGATTACCTTTTAGGAACTTGTGAATGGTCTCTTCATTTATGTATGTTTATCTGAAAGACTGTGTATTCCTTATTTTGTCATATAGACAGTTAGAAAATTGCATGACTTAAAGCTTCATTTAGGTTGAATCACGTAATGCTTATACCACATCCTAAGGAGGAAAAAATCAATTTTCAAAATGTTTGTCACTAAAAATATATTCAAACTGATTAATTTTATTGAAAGGATTTTTTTTCTGTAATTGATAAAAATGTGGTGACAGCAATTTGAGTAAGATACCAAATTATTACTTTATGCTTAGAATTGCTATCTTATATTAAGTGTATTCTTGAGAAGAGATTGGGTAGAAGATAGAAAAGCAGATGCCGTTAAAATGACAGGTTACTCCAGTATTTAGCGTATCATCTCTAATGCCTCTTAAAGAGGTTCCTTTTCGTGAACCTGGCAAAGGAGTTGAAATCCATTTTGCAATATTGTCCTATGAAAAGCAGGGACAGGTCTTCTCCCGAGCCCAGTAGGGTTTGACCTCATTAATATGGTGCTTTGGGTGAGGACTTCTCTGGTCATCCTACTTTCATGTGGCCGGCTAAAGTCCTGGGAATCTCTACAATTAAGTTGTCTTTAAAGGATAAACCAGGGACCACCTAACTAGGCCCATTTTTTTTTTAATTAACTGCCTGAATAAACCAATGGCAGTAATTGCAATCTTCTAATCTCATTTGTAACATTGTGTAAATTACTGATCAAAAGTCTCAAGCTTCTGTACAACAAATTGCCTTCGTCTAGATTTTTCAACTCCAGTTTATAAAACTTAACTAGTATTCAGGGATGAACTTAAATTTTCTAAGGCAAATGGAGCAGCAGGAACTACAGCATAAGTGACTGTTATTTCTCGGTGGACCAGTGTAATTTACAACATTTTAGGGATGTTCCAGATAGCCTGCTATGTTTGAACTTCCCAGGCACTATTAAAATTAATATGGTCCTTGTTATAGGAGGTATGATGCAAATATATGTTTGGAATGTCACCACATTTAAAACCAACGTAGTAATAAAAAAAATTAACATTGATAAGCTTATTTTTATTATCCTAGAATGATAACAGAGATTTCAAGTAAACTATATGGCATCAACTTAAATGCTTAGCTGGAATCAGAATTCTGAAGAAAATTCTAAAAAACTTACAAATTTTTAAGGAAATTTTACTTTTCAAATCATAATGTTAGATGATCTATATCTTTTTGTGATAATTATCAGAGCAATTCAGAAAACAACTTTTTGACATTTTAATTGAAAAATAATTGTATGGACTATTAGAATACTTGTTTTAATTTTTTGAGTAAATATCTACTTTTGCATTATATCTTTTGTGTAGATAGTGGTAACTATTTAGTTCAGAAATTCTTTGCAGTATATGAGGTAATGTATGAGAAAAGTGTAAATGCTGAGGATTATAAAGATGATACTTGTTACTTCATGTTTATTTCTAAGATCATGCCCATTCATAAATACAGATATTTCACATAAAAAAATATTTCCTCAAGGTAACTTGTATTCTGGTACTTTTATCTATTGTATTTTGTTATTCATTTATTTTAATATCCATATGTTCATTGTAGTAATCTGGAATGAAATTCAATAGAACAGAATTTGTTTAAACATGACCTCATACCAATATTGTTTAATTTTTTTCTACATAATTTAAAACTACATCAATTAAGTATTCAAACCAAGAACTTAGTTATACTAGGAAATTAAAAAACTATTTTTAAAGTTACCCAAATGATATTTTAATTTTCTTTATTTATCTTCCTTTACTGATTCTTGGTAAATAATGGTGTTAGCCTTTAAAAAAAAAAAATTTTTAGATATAATTAGTATTTAAAAACGAATATGATATATCTACCAAATTGATCAGATTATATTCATACTGTCATCACATAGTTGACAAATTTTCTTTTTTGATAAGTAATGCTCATATAAGCCTTTGGGTTAGTGTGTATGTATACTATACATGTGTATGTATGTAGAGAGTATGGTCATGTGCACACATATATACTAGGACAAACACTAAGAGTTGAATAAGTTTGTAATGATCAGGAAAAAAAGCACATAAATTAAAAAATAATTGACTTTATTAAATTCCATTTCAGAAGATTTTTTATTTGGGAATTTCTAGATTACTTTTTTACATTTAAAAGTACATGATAAGTATTAGTATGCATACTTGTATATAGCCAGAATCTACATAAAACAGGGTTTTATAAGGTCAGAAAACAAATTGGAGGTGGAGTGCACTTGCTAAACCCACTCAGTGGGAAAGGGAATTGAAAGTAAGTTTTGTGGGTCAACAGAAAAGTACAGTTTGTTTTTCATGAACTTTAATCCTTTTCCATGTGTGAGTGAACAATAGAGGGTCTAATTTTTACCCCAGAAGGCCTTTCTTTTCTACTCTAATCTTCCCACTGACTTGACTGCACAGGTATGAATTGGTAGCCTGTTAGACTTTAAATAACCTTTTTCCCCCTGATGACTAAAATACAGATATTTACTCCATTTAAAGAGGTGTTTAAGAGAAATCATGTATATACTCAGGGAGGGTATTAAGTTATCATTTTGTTTTTTTGGGGGAGTTTAAAGTGTCATAACTAAGTAACCTTCAGTTCATGGTTCTAGAGTAAATTTAATTTGGTAAAGAGCTCCACACATAGCAGTGGTTGAACATTCATTCTTTTGTATTTAGGAAGATGAAAATGTTTTGTGGACTGATACATTTTCTCTTAGTGAATATGAATTGTTTATATATCTCTACTGTCAAAAACTCTTCTTGAAACTCAGGAAAGACAAAGGTTCAATTATACTACTTTTGTCAGTATGCAAACCAGGTGTATTGAGTGTGGGTTGTTTTTTTTTTTCCCCATGTTGTCTGGCTATGGCAATAGATTTTTTAAAAATTGATTTCAGAGAGAAAGGGAGAGGGCGAGAGAAATAAAAACATCAGTGATGAGAAGGAATCATTGGTCAGCTGCCTCCTGCATGCCCCACACTGGGGATCAAGCCCACAACCCAGGCATGTGCCCTGACCCAGAATGGAACTGTGACCTCTTGGTTCATAGATCGATGCTCAACCACTGAGCCACCCTGGCCAGGCAATAGATTTTTTTTTTTTTTTAATTGCTGTGAGAACTTATACATGAAAAGAAAGGGGTCAAGTTGTTCGTGTGTGCCTGTGGTGTCTTGAGACATAGATGTGGAAAAGACATCTACTCCAGACTGTATTTTTAAAGAATAAAAATTGCTGTTTATATGGTGCCATGTGATAAGATGATTTCTGTTAAAGGCTTCCTGTGGACGGCCTTTATTTTAGTAAACTCAAGACACCAGTTAACCTCAACATAATTAGAATTTGTTGTGCATTATATTAAAAGCCAGGTTTACATCACCTCAACCCATTATTCCTTTTAGTTAAGTAAATATATTCACCACATCATGTGACCAGAATGGGCCAATTTGTTTGACCTTTAAGGCAGTAGGTTTGACTAGCTAGCTATACTTATTGTCATATCTAATGTTACTCACTAGAAACCACTTGAGCCAAGAGTGTGAATTGAGAATTTCAGAGATATTTTCAACATACTTCAAACATTTTAAAATATTTTATATAAATGTTTTACATTTGTGTGATTGCCTAGATATTAAATTTACTAAGTGCTAAAGATGGTCATCATACATAATTTTTAAAACAGCATTAGTCATAACTTATTTTATATATTATTCCAAAGCAAAGAATTTTAATATTTTTTAAATGACTGCATCTGAATTTGTGCCTTAAGTTCTCCCAGTGCTATTTCAACTTTTTTTCAACCTAAATAAAGCTTAACCTTAGAAAAGTTTCATATTTGTTTATCCTATAGAGTAAATCTCTCAAAAAAAAATTTTTTTAATTTTAGGTCTCCTTTTTAATTAGCACCAGCTGTGTGGTTGCTTGGCAGAATGAGAATGCTAAGAAAGGTTGTTGGGTGTTTGGAGTTTTATTATATTTTTTGGTTTGGGTTTTTATTTGTTTTTATACCAAGGTGCTTTTTAAGATATTCAGGAAAAACCATCAATCTTACATAGATTAATAAGCCCTTGAAAACACCATTTGCAATATCTACATCCAGAAAATGTCAGAAAAGTAAATTTTATTTTTGTTCCTTTATATACTGTCCTTTTTTTTTTTTTTTTTCTTTTTTTTTCCTTTTTTTTTCTCTCTACGGACTTTTTCGGTTAACTTTCTTGGAAAAGTACTTACTCTCCTCCACCCCCCCACCCCCAACACCCCTCCATGGTTTCTTCATTTAAATTTTTGTTGAAGTTTCTGGAGCTCTCTGAGACAACACAATTACAGAATTGAACAGAAGTGTAGTATGCTTTAGAACTTGTACAGAAAGGGCAAATGTCATTTGCCTTTAATTGGAGGCTCTAGAGTCTTCACAGTGGAGAGAGAAAACAAGGCTTTGTATTTCTTTGTTCTCAGTTCAGTTGTAGCACATTAATACTTACATGTTTTGTTTAAATATATTTTGTGCATAGTATTTTTTAAAAGTTGTATCTAATAAGATGTCTTTTAACCATTATTACTTGATTATATGGGTGTATTAAATTTTGTTTACCAAAAATTTGTTGTTTTGTTTTTTTGTTAATCCTCACCCAAGGA